ACCCCTTATATATAGTAGTTACAATGCAGACCACAGCTCTACTATACACATAAGGCATAGGCATTAGCCTAGAAGTTAGCTAATATATAACACTTAATAAAAAAAAAGCACTAGTAGTGCTACTATAATAATAAGTATATAAAGTTACTAGAACTTAACTATAACTTTAGACTAAAACTGCATAGAAGTACCTCTTATAACACACAACCTTTGCTGCCTATAGCTGCAGATTAGTGCTAGTAGGTAAAATAATATTAATATTATAAAATAGTAAAGCTACTATATGCTACTTTTTAGCCTATCTATAATTAGCATTTTATATAAAAAGAAAGTAAAAAAGCTAAAGAATTTATATGTTTATGCTAAGACACTAAATAAACTACTAATTAGTAGTAGAACTAGTTAGAAGGGTAACATAAATGCGCCCTAGGCTGCTAGACTGCATAAGGACATTAAAAACGCCCGCACTAACAGCGCTAGAGGTAGAGGAGGAAGGCTAGAAAGACATCTCTCTCTCTCTCTCTCTCTCTCTGTGTGTGTGTGTGTAGGCAGAAGTATCTATTACTATTAGCACTATATAAAAAAAGAAAAGAGCTAGAGAATTATACAGTAGGGCTTAAAAAGTAAAGGATAAAGAAAAGAAAGTAAAGAAAAAGAGAAGACCTTATTATATACACCTCCCTACGCACCTGCCTACGCAAAGATCCTATACTATTCTAGCATAAAACCCTACATAAAATAGTTTATACACTACTAAATTACTTATAAGGTAAGCAGATAAAGGCTAGATAATAATAGCTTAAAATACTTTACACTATTTATAAAGCTCTTTATATAGTGTAACTAGCCTATTTTAATATACAGCATTACTAAGGTAAGTTCTAATAAATAAAGTAGAGTAAAGGTAGAACATAATTAGATAGACTTACATAGACAAAAAAGAGGTAACATGTATAAAAGGTAACTCTTTAGACAAAAAGAAAAGTTACTAGTGTCTATACATAGTAGCAGTGTTATAATCTAGATATAAGTAATTACGCATAAGCAGGACTACATATCTATGTTATATAATGCTTATGTGTAAACCTTAATGTGTAAATATCTAAATATCCCCTTTTTTCTTTATATAAAGGAAAAATAAGAGTAATAGAACTAGAAACATGTTACTCTTACCTTACCTACCTTATACGCTGTACACACTATACACTACTCTTACTCTTGCTACTTAAGTGCTTATACTATAAGCAGCTAGCTGTTAGAGCCTATTTAACAAAAACCTTATTATATACACTTTCCTACGCACCTGCTTACATAAAGATTCTACACTATTTTAGCATAAAACTCTACATAAAACAGTTTATACACTACTAAATTACTTATAAAGTAAGTGTATAAAAGCTAGATAATAATAGCCTAAAACACTTTACACTATTTATAAAGCTATTTATATAGTGTAACTAGCCTATCTTAATATATAGTATTACTAAGGCAAGTTTTAATAAATAAGGTAAAGTAAAGGTAAAATGTAATTAAATAGACCTACACAGATAGAAGAAAGGTAATGTGTATAAAAGGTAACTTCTTAGATAAAAAGAAAAGTTACTAGTGTTTATACACAGTAGCAGTGTTATAGTCTAGATATAAGCAATTGCGCATAAGTAGAACTATGTATTTATGTTATATAATGCTTATATGTAAACCTTTATGCATAAATATTTAAATATCTTTTTTTTTCTTTATATAGAGGAAAAATAAGAGTAATAGAACTAGAAACATGTTGCCCTTACCTTACCTACCTTGTACACTGTGCACACTGTACACCACTCTTACTCTTGCTACTTAAGTGCTTATACTATAAGCAGCTAGCTGTTAGAGCCTATTTAACAATATTAGTTATTTATTATTTTTTAAAAAACTTTATATATAGCTGTAGTATATTACTTTAAAAGTCTTATATTTTATTTAAAAGCTTAAAGTGTAAGCTATATTTAATATTTTTTTAGCATATCTAAGTAGTGTTATTATAAATGCATTAGTATAAAAAAAGTAGTTTAGTAGAGTCTTAGCAAAAGTAAGCAACTTAGGTGTGTGAGCAACTCGCCTGTGAAGTACGTTAGGCGTTAATGGTATTCCCAGGTTATTAAGTCCTCACGCACTCCCATATGCCTGAGTGGATTCACACTGCAATCGGACCTATTGTCTTGCCTGCGCCGTTACATAGGCGGTGAAATACAGTAAAGCGATTAGTAGTGAGATCTTTCCACTGCAAGCAGGGAGGGTAGCCGGCCCGCTACGGCCATGACCTTTTTAGTTGGCTTTGTAGGTGTTTTCATAGAGTTGGTTTAACATTCACTGTATGGTACGTAAATTATACCGGCAGGATTATGTGAGGCGTGCGAGGCTATTTCGCACTATCCTAGACTAGTAGTTGATTTGATTGGAAGTACCGCCTAGCGTGGCGATCTTGCATAAATTTGCCCGCCACAGCCGACACAAGGCTAACAATAATTTCCTAGTATTGTAGTAAGGCTCTAAGGTTTGGATAAGACCTTCTATAAGTGCTAAAAGTTGTAGGAGCTTAGTAGTTGTGCTGTAGAAGTAGAATGCTGTTTCGACACAAAAGAAAGGGTCTCTGTATAATGCAGGCACAACAGCAACTATGCAAACGTAATCTTTAGGCAAGACAGGGTTAGGACGTCGCTCTAGCACACAATTTATACATAATTATAGTGAAAATTAATATGCGCACAGATTTTGAGTTGCTTGAAGCTAAAGTACCCCTGGTATATTTCAGCATAGAGGATTTTTTGCTACACAGGGACGGACGTTAACATTGTTCTTGTATTTGACTGAGAGTCAGACGAGGTTGTGCCTGTAATTCATTTTGCATGTAATGGAAACGAGCGGCAACCATGGTCTTGCTTCGATGGACTTACACGACGTGTTATGGCCTATCACAGAATATGAATAGAGAGAGTCTTCCACTCAAAATTCCTGCTAGACTTGGAGATCACTTCAATAGGATGACGACTACAGTCCCATATTACCGTCCAACGGACCTTCTATTTTTAGAAATAAGAAGCAGTGTTTCGGCAAAATCATCCTTACTCAATCCCCAGAGACGTTCGCAGAGGCTTTCTCCTAGCCAAGCCTGTTGTAAATAAAACATTTACTCCGTCTCTTCAAACGCCCCAAATCGCATTTAAATTCCCCTCCCCATCCTTTCCAACGTCATGGTCGCAATTACCGTGACACCAAAACCACCCCCATCCTCCGCATTCGTCATTTGGATCAGATCCTCACCCTCCACTTTCCTACACTCCCTCTCGCCCTGTACTACCACCCGCTTCCTGATCTCAACTTCCCTAGTCCAAGATCTCCCCCAAAGCTATAACCTACTTCTTCTTAAACTTTGAGTGTTCTTTTGTTATTCTACCCTCAGCAGCTACTTGCCCTGCACAATTCCTTCCTTGAACTATATAGCAACAACGCCGCATGCACGGAGTCGAGCACCACGTACCACGAGTTCAGAATCCGAAAAATTCTAATCAAAGCCTCTTCAACGTAAACCAATTCCCCGTCTCCTGAAACGAGGAAGATCCGCCTTTTTTCAATCTCCGATGGGACCCGCGACAATGCTGTACGGTTCGTGGAATTTGGAGATGTCTTGAGGCATGAAGATGAACCTCTTTCCAGCAAGATCCGACTCCACAATGCAGAAATAAATTCTCAAGATACAGAGATACAGCCCCGCACTCACTTTTTGACACGGTTGCTTCCCAGGCCTCGGACTCTCTTCCCTAACCGGCTCATCGTACCCCGTCTGGGGATGCGCGCGATGCTCGTTATCAAACGCACCGTATTCCGCAATCAATCGCTAACTTGCACCCCTCCTTCAACCCCTGCCACTTCCCTTCCCCAAAACCGAGTTTTCTGAAGCGCTCTGGTTCTTTATTTACGCCGCATTACACACGATCCTGAACATCACACCGGTAGTCTTGAGGCCGGCATGCGCAGACGCGATCATGGTGATCACGGTATCGTTGACAAGAGCCACAAGACGAACGAGAAGATCTTGGGCGGAAAACATGTGACGCAATTGCTGCGCTACATCCTCCCCTCTTATACCTTCGATGTCGATGCCTTCAGTCCAGTAGTCCAGGTTTGCTATACTCTGTGATCAATATTATTCTGCGTCACAAGTGAGCTGAATGTGAAATCCAGCGGTATTGAATTTTCGGTTGAGTCCTGCTCACTCAAATTGTTTGCGCCCGTAAACTCGTGCAGGGAGTCGGCGAAGTAAATCTAGAAGTCTTCGGCGGTGCTGGTTCTGAGTAATTCGGGGAGTTTTTTACTGTCTTTGGATGAGGCTGTGTTTTTCCTTCGAACCTGCAGAGGAGCCGGGTGGGTCAACTCCCCACCTCCTTTAAGCTCCTGCCGATATCTCTTCATAGTCTCCTTCAACTTCTCCCCCAAAACCTAAAGCCCTTTAGCTAGCTCACGCTCAATTTATGGAGGTAAGTCAACCATGGCTTCGAGTTTGGGGGGCTATGGCCAAGAGTCCCGAACAGCGAGTTCTTTCGAATCCATTGGCATAACGTGGGAGAACCTAGATGTCAATACTCGAGAAGGAAGGAAAGTGCGGGGCACTTAACCCGGAGGAATTGGGAACCTTTCCAGGAGTGGGGTTAAGCCGTGAATCTGCCGCCATGATGACGTTATCTAATTCTAGAGAGTCGGAATGATCCTTCTTCCCTCGTGAAATCCATCACAATGCTGCTCCTTGTGTTTAATCTGCATACGGGCGACGTGGGTATAAGAGAACGAAAAGGGGGGAGCCCTCAGGAGAGGGTACATGGACGAGACACTGTCGCTCAAGGGATAGAAGATCAACGTGTTAGGCGAGGAACAAGAATTGAAACTGCGGCAACACGCAGGAAAAAGACATGCGATCCGAGTGATTACAATATAAACTTTAAAAAAAAAGAATAATGGTCTTGGTGGACAGCCCGATCGAGGCTTGCCGTAAACGATTCTAAACGCCTGTCTATGATGCACCCCCGTCTAAGTTCGCGCGACAAAGGAAAGTGACCGTCGAGGCCTAGCTTGTGTTTTCAAAATGATGCGTCTGGGGATATTGAGTCCTATGACCCATGTATTCCATGTATCTCAAACGCCAAAGTATGCCATAAGCGGATAAGGGACCGGCCTATCTCCAATGTGTAATAGTGGGTGACTATGCCATCGCCTCGCTCTCCCCCTGGCACTCGATTGGCGACAAATTCGACTCCTTCGACTCGTCGTGCGCATGCTCGTGTGCCACCTGCTCCTCCGCTGCAGCGCGCTGGTTGAGAAGGGAAAGGTAGGTCTGCCAGCCGATCGCAATGACACCTAAGCCAATGTTAACACCCTGTGCGATCAACTTCAAATCGAAATGCGGCTCACCTCCAAAGATGCTCCTAAACTGGATCGGGATAAACGTAAAGCTAAAAGCCGTAACCGCCGGCCATATCTTGCAGCTATTGACCCAGCTCACCGGCACTGTATGTTGGATGCGCTCCCAGATCTCAGGGAGCGTGGAGCCGGTAAGCAGAGACTGCATGCCAAAGAAGTACGAGTTGAAGATGGGCGTGAAGAGGATTTGGTTCACGATGACCTGCAAGCGTTAGCTCGGGTGTTCATTACCCAGCGAGGCGCAGTAGAAGCCACATACTTTGGTGGTGAGGGACAGAATCTTGGAGCGATAGTTGAACGACTCTCCAAGCCAGAGGAACCAGCGATAGCCGGGAATGGCGGCCATGCCTCCGATCAACAGCGCCCGGCCGGTTCTTGCCCAGTCTCGGTTCGCCAGCACGCCTCCGATATTTTCCTCGCCATTGGCGTTATCCACACTGCACCCGCCAGTACTACCGGCCGTCGGACTGTCTGAGCTGATGCTTTGCGCGACAATGTCACCGATGAAGTAAATCACCAGCGCGCTGACAAACTGTGTCGCATAGGGTCTGCGTTGTTGAACTCTCCCGTAAGCTCGAAAAGGCGTGTATATAGGCTCCAGCCACAACCAGCTCGGCCCGGGTATCGTCTTGGATGTTGCTACATCGTTGTTCGGGGTCGCGGGTTTCGTGGAGTTGGGTCGCCGCAAGACGGAAGAGGGAGACGTGGCAGGGTGGAAGTAGTTTGTGCGCCGTAGTCCCAGGCGGGACCAGGCGCGGCTCATTTGTATCATGAGGGTGCGTGTATGAACATCAAGTTGCTAGTACTGAGCGCTGGAAGCGGGGTCACCGGAGGGTTGAGAGAAGAGGGTTGAGAGGAGGAGTTTGCGTGTCAGCAAGCCCAAGGACTCGATGAATCTGCGCGACAGAATTGCCGACATTCGGCATTCGGAAAGCGAAGCCGGAATCAGGGGCCGCGTGGGGCCGCCCGACCTCGGAAACTTGTCATCAACAAGATATTAGTCAGCATGTCGTTCACAAGTGAAACTTTGACAGCAATGTAAAAAAGCGACAAAATCTTCGAACTCTATTCGTCTTGAAAGTATATCTACACCGAAGCAAACATGGCATAGCCACATGCAAAGAGGGACATGCCCTTGAAAATATTGCTCAAAATCAAAATGAAGAAAACCAATGCATCTCCCATCCATCTCGACGCCTGGTCATGCATGAAATGTGAGTACCAATGCTTGGGAGTGAAAATATCTACAAGCACTGCGAGTAGTAGGGGTTCTGCACCTGACAGGTCGAGCCGGACACGCACGCCGTGCTTCCTGTATACATCTTACCACCGCACTGGCCCCACTTCGCCACAGCTGCGCCTGCACCAGATGACGGACTGGATTGGTTTGGCTGGACGGTGGTCGTGATGGCAACAACTGAAGTGACAAATGTCGTACGGCCGGGCTGCGATGCGGGAGCAGACGAAGCAACTGGGGCTGCAGATGTAGCAGGCGCAGCGCTGGAGGCGGGGGCAGCAGAAGAAGCACCACCGCCCGTGGATCCTCCGGAGGTGGCTCCATCCCAGACGGCAGGGCCCGGAATTGGATATGAGGTGAACGAGTTGTAAATGTCGAATAGAACGCCCGGGTCAGTTGCAGTGTAGGTTCCGGGGATCGCAACACCAGCTGGGAGGGTGATGGAACCAGAGGAGGTGACCTTGATCTGCACGCACTCCATGTAGAATTGAGCACCGCCTTGGCGGTTGCCCTCGTGGAGAGCGATGATCTCAGGTCGGAGGAGGTACTCTCCCGCGGCCAATTCAGGGAGCGTGATGCTGTGCTTGCCCTTGTTCTGGATCAAGCGATCAACCCCCCAAGCGCCGTCAGCGAAGCCATCCTCAGCGAGCTTGAGCCAGACGTCGCCTTTTCCGTTGGATTCGGTTGGGGCAATATAGGTCATAACGGGGCCGTGATGAGACTACTCCTGTTAGCGAAAGCAGCAAAGACATGAAGCAGGCTTCTGGCTCACTTCAGCAATGATGTCGTCGGAAGCATCACGGTTGTTGTGGTGCCACTCGAACGTAATCTTGTCCCCACCCTTCACCTCTATGGTCTTGGCCGTCGCCTCGTTATTCAAGTTGCAGGTCATGCCGTCGGATGTGACATCAGTGATAGGGTTGTTGTTTGGAGGGGAACGAATATAACCACTGGCGCTGTTTCCTAGGCCCTGGTCAACGTCGTTAACCCAAATGGCGTAGACTGTGCTATGAGCCGCAGCAAGCTGAGCACCCCCGGCGGCAGCCAGGGCAAAAATGGTGGAAGTCTTCATTTTGAAAGGAGCAAGTTGGGCTAAAAATGAACGAATGGAAGGTGAATTGAAATTCGAAGATGCCGCAGATTGAAAAGAGCGTGAGAGAAAAAGAAGTGAGCGTCAAGCGTGCCGTCCACTGATGGGCAGAATAAGGCTCTTATATGCATCCTACTTCCTACGAGAGGCTCCCACCTCGCTTCTTCATGACAGTTCTGGCAGCCAAGTAGCGCGACACTGGCTGGGAGCCACCGGCGACTTCCCATGCAGCCAAGAAAATGTCATCTATCCCAAGTGCACTACAGACCGTGCACCGCTAAGAGGCACGTCGATAGCTGCTACTTCGCGTTGGCTAATGCCTAGAATGAGATCAAGGCCAAGATGAATTCATTAACGCATCCCGATGTGGAGGTTTGCAGTTTCTCGCTTGGATCCCGAACTCCTGGAAACGCTCCCTTCATCGAATGATGGGGCGGGAGCAGTGAGAAACATGAAACCTCGAAAAAGGCTTGAGTGAGAGAACACCACTCAACCGCGGGCAAATGGTGGTGATGCCTCGGCGACAAACGAAACATCATGCGTTGGCCTGTGATGTTTCTAGCGCAACTTCATGCGATCCCCCTCCCTTCTCTTTCACAGCGTTTCACTAATATTATATGAAAGATAGCTCACCTTCCTAGCCTTCATTCGTAGCTCACCGTGTCGTTGAAAAGGGAGACACAAAATCTTTTGTCAGACCAAGGCTTATTCTGTACACCATTAGTGGACCTCTCATCTCGGCTCTAAAAGACATGACTCTTGGTGCATATCGAAGGAAGACGTCGGATGGAAGTGCGAAGTTTTTCCGCCTGCAACGACGATGAAACGGGACCCTGGTTGAGGAGATTGGCTAGGGTTAGGGAGCGTTTCGGCATCGTTGGCACTTCCGGACTGCAGCTATTGGCATCAATTGTGAAATTCTGAAAAGGAGGAATTGTAGGGATGGAATATCTCTCAAAGACTGAGTTGAAAGATCTGAGCATGTGAGGTGACGGTGGGTTTGGCAGAATTCATCGTCGCTTCTTTGTTCCAGGTCACCGGAACTCGGCTCCAGATGGCACGACTTAGTTCCCATCCTCTGCCGCCTTCCCAAACGCCACCACTCTGCACCTTCATATCGAATTGATGAGATCCATTTCGCTTGCGACTTGGCAACCAAGAGGTCGAAATCGCCAAGATATCCCTTGGCCTCGCTGCGATTTCTCGTTTCGTCATGTTTGCAGACCTTAGCTGCATTCCAGACTCTTGCGTTGGAGTCCACGATGTTCTGTGTCGACCCTAAGAAGCGTTTATGCGACAAACCGATCAACAGGCGCTAACTGGAGCCATGTGTGAGTGGTGGAAGAACATATGCCAAACTCATAGAGACCGTCTAAAGCCATGCCCGAAAAGCTGGGGAATGGGGCGACTTATTTCTCCCACGACTGTCGTTAATCCGCCGCCGAAGCAGTATTTCTTCGACAGCTCATGAAGGGTCAACCTGCGCATTCCTTTGGCTGTTCGCAAACATCCCTTTGACAACCACACAATTGAACAACATGCCGTCGAATTTCTTCAAGAATCGCAGGGTCTACCTGCTCACGAGCGTTGCCTACATGGGTTCGTTGCTATTTGGTGAATCTTTCTATATCCTAAATTACCTATCAACTACGCCGACAAACACCTACAGGTTATGATACGGGTGTAATGGGAAGTGTGCTCGCTCTGAGAGCCTTCAAAAAAGACTTCGGGCTCCCAACCGATTCATCCGGCTTCGCCAGCTCTAAGAATGCCTATGTCTCCTCCAACGTTGTGTCCCTTCTCACTGCAGGATGTTTCTTTGGGGCCATCTCCGCAGTATTTATCAACGAGCGCTTCGGCCGTCGCCACTCGCCGATGTTCTTTTCCGTCATCTTTCTCATCGGTGCTGCAATCCAAACTGGTGAACATCATGAAATCGGTATGATCTACGGGGGTCGTGTCATTGCTGGATTGGGTATTGGCGGCATGTCCTCTATCACTCCAGTCTTCGTTTCCGAGAACTGCCCACCGCATGTCCGAGGTCGGATTGCTGGTCTCTCTCAGGAGTTCTTGGTTATTGGATGTACATTTGCCTATTGGTTAGATTATGTCGTATCACTCCATATCCCGGTATCGACAAAGCAGTGACGAGTCCCAGTTGCGATACAGATCATTACTGGAGCCTTCATGCTCATTGGCTTCTTTTTCTTGAAGGAGTCTTAACGCTGGCTCATGAAGCAAGGGCGCTATTCAGAAGCAGCCCAGAGCCCCTCCCATGTCCGCTGTGAACCAGAAGGCCATCCGGACGTCATAAAAGAATTAGCCGAGATCCGTACCGCCATCGAGGAAGAGTTGAATGCTACCGAAGGCGTCACTTGGCGAGAATGCCTGCTACCGGGAAACCGATATCGTTTCGTGACCGGTTTTTGCTTGATGTTCTGGCAGCAGTTCTCCGGTACGAGTAGTATTGGATACTATACACCTCAAATTTTCCAGATGGTCGGGGTGTCCAAAAGCTCGTCCTCTTTATTCGCCACAGGTGTTTATGGCACTGTCAAAGTGGTTACAACAGGCCTCTTCCTCATCATCAGAATTGATCAGTTTGCTCGCAAGAAGTCACTAATGGCTGGTGCGGTTTAGATAGCATCCATAATGTTTATTATCAGCGCGGTTCTAGCTACTCACCCACCAAACCCCGCTTCTGGTGTAGTCTCGCCTGCATCGATTGCGATGGTTACTATGATATACCTGTACGTCATTAGTTACTCCGCGTTGTGGGGTCCTGTTCCTTAGATCTTTTATAGTTATACTTGCCTTAAACTTTACTTTAAGCTTTAGATACACTTTATAAACACACTAGGCTAGTTTATGCTACCATAGCCTAGATTATGCTTAGCGCGTAAAGAATTAGCTATATTAGCTACAGTTAGCTAAGAGGAAAATCCTTGCGCATACTGCTTAAGTATATGCTTAACAATTACTAGGTTTATAATACAAGGTTTATGTTACCTCTCTAGCTAAACGACTACAAAGCACCAGATCAATCATCGCCTTAGCTCTCAGAGTGCTTGGTTTGTCAGTAGATGACTGCACTACCAAGTTTTCAGAGCTCTGCAGGACGGCCTTTACGAAACGTAAAACCTACACGACGCTCCGCTCAAAATTTTCCGCTGTATTGTTCCGTGGAAGTATATACAAAACACGGCCATTATACGATTCTCTGCGTCAATCCCTAGGTGATGCTAGGATATTTGGTGGTGCAGGGAAGAAGTCACATTTCTACGATATCAAGGTTGCTGTAACATCGACGGACGAGCTTGCTAAAAACGCAATCATCATGGCCAACTACAATCGACAGGGAGAAAACTATGCACGCCACATCTTTCAGCGTCCATCAGATCCAAGTAAAGAGCCTATGATATGGGAGGCCGCTGCCGCATCCGCGGCCGCTCCGCCTTATTTCACCGCTTTTTGGCATCCGGAAACAAGCCGTACTTAGACGGTGCTTTCCACAATAATAATCCAGTAAGGGTTGCATATTGAGAGGCACAACTGCTCTGGCCCAAGGTATTGAAGCTTCCCCCAGATGTGTTAGTATCCATTAGAACCAGCAAGGAGGGTGATACAGATGGCAGGGCAGATGACAGACTGGAGACCGAATATAATTTGCAGCTTTTGAGCGAACAATTTCAAAGGCCAAAAAAATCTCCTTTCCACAAGTATACAGTGGCTAACTGTGAAACTAGACTGCAGATTAGTGACATAGATTAGGGGCAGATGACAAGTCCTTTTAGCAAGCTAAAAACTTTTCTAATAACAAAGTAGTTAGCACATGGTTAGAACGCTGTAGTATGTTTGCAATGATGACAGAGTTAGTAATAGTGAAGCTAAACTACATTAAGACAAGTTAATACAAGAGTATCATTAATGCTAAGGTTGCATAGAAGTTGTTATTAAGGGAGCGCGCAGTGTCTGCAGATGCTTAATCTAGAACCAGCGCTCTTAATATATCTAACTTAACTCTAAGATAGATGTCGTCCCTGAATTTAATGCTGCTAAGGATTTAAGCAAGCTCCTGTTAGTGATATCTAAAAGTATCTTAGAAGAGACGTTATATAATGCTGCTCCTTGTTATTATCTAGCCTTTATAAGTTAGCTATAGAATTAGCTTGTAACAGTTGTCTAGTGTGTTAGTTATTTATTATTTTTTAAAAGACCTTATATATAGCTGCAGCATGTTACTTTAAGAGTGTTATGTTTTATTTAAAAGCCTAAAGTATAAGCTGTATCTAATGTTTTTTTTAGCACATTTAAGTAGTGTTGTTAGGAATACATTAGTGTAAAAAAAGTAGTTTAGTTAGGTCTTAGTAAAAGTAAATAACTTAGGTGTATAAGCAACTTGCCTATAGTATACGTTATAGTTAGAAGAACCTAGAATAACAAAAATATACAACACTATTACAGTTATATAAAATAAAATAAGTATACCTACTTCTAGCTAATAGAAAAATTAGTAGTAATAAAAAATAGTGTATAAACTTAACAAACATGTAATTATTAATTATAAAATGCTTAAAGTTATTATCTTAGATAAAGATAAAATATTTACATTAAAGTACTAGTAGCATAGAATAAAGAACTTAGAGACTAAAGTTTGTCTTTTATAGTATATGTAACAGCGCTGGCAAGACAACAGGTTCAAATGCGGTGTGAATCCACCTAGAAGCATATGGGAGTGCGTGGGGACTTAGAAACCTAGGAATTCCATTAACACTTATAGGCCTTGTACAAAGGATATTAGAAAACTACTAATCTAGCTACAGAGAGAGGTGAGACTAAATACTTAGGGGAATAGAGGTACAGTAGAGGCTAGGGCAGGGTCGGAGCTGATACAAGGAACCTTCGGATATAGGTTCTCGACAACCCGAGACGGAACAATTCAAGTATATAGCTACAGTATATTGCCTAGAGAGAGACAGGCAAATAGAACAAACTAATTAGACGTTACTAGAATATCTATAAAAGTACATTAATAAAAAAAAAGAAAACATTAGATGTAGTAGCTACTAGCAGCCTAGTTTACTTTTAACACTATAAAATTATTAGCTACTAGCATAATACTCTTTAAAGCTAACTATAGGTATAAAGTACAACTATATAGAGATAAACAGCTTAAAGAAATACTAGAAGCCTTTAAAAAAGTTGTTAAACATGTATAGCATCTATAAAAACTATAACGTACCTAACAGGTTGGCCGGCCACACAGGTTGGCCAGCCACTTTTGCCAAGCCCCTACTAAAACTACTCTATTCTAGCGCAAAACAGCCTACTTTAGCCCTATATAGAGCAATACAACACAAGATATTATTTAAAGTCTACTTTTACTACTTTCTTACATATATGTAAGTTATGCCTAGTTTAATTACACTACTTATATTACCTTTAACTTAGCTTACTTTCTTTAGCGCGCACTTATGTCTTTAGCTTCTTTCTATTACTACGCGCTCTAAACTTCTTTAAAGTAGTTAGATAAGCTTTATTTTTAACTATTAAAGTTTTTTTAACTTAAATTTACTTTTTTTATATAATCTATGTTATATAGCAGCCTTATTTACTACTTAAAGCTTTATAATCTTCTTTTACACTAACACTAGCTTATGTGTAATAATTGCTGCCTTTTTTAAAACTTTTTTAAAGGCCTTTACTATAGATGTTAGTAAGCTATTTATATGCTTTTAAATTTTTACTTTTATAAGCATTAATTATAACTTAAATTTAAAAGTATTACTTAGAGTTTACAACTACTAGAGCTTGTTATTAATAAGTAGTAGTAGTAATAAAGTACATAACTAGATGTTAAGAGCTATTTTAACTTATTTTAAGTTAAATAGGACTAAACTAGCACTTTAAAACTTTTTTTAGATATTACTAAAAGTAATTACTACATTATAAGTGTGTATAAAGCATAGTAGAAACTTAAGTTTTATAATATAAGTAATTTAGTTATACATAAAATCTTTAGCTTAGCGCTTATACACTTTTTTAAAAAAAGTAAAATAACCTACATTAAGAGGCTATAAAAGGTGTAATAAGTGGAAAGGCATATAAATAGTAATAATCTTATTTTTTTTATAGTACTACTAAAAATTAAGTAAGTTATAGCTTTTATAGCTATTAATAATAAAAAGTTAATAAGCGCTTATAACTTTTCTTTTTATATGCTTATTAAAGTGCTTTAACTACTATAGTCTAAGCTTATTTATTATCTAGCTATTTTTAAAGACTATAATAACCTAGTTTTAAAGTAGATTTTTTTTATACTAAGTAAAAAAGTAATAGCAGCTTTTAAAAATAATAAAAAGTAAAATAGTTTACTTTATTATGTTAATACTTTAAATAACTATTATTTACTTTTTATTACTTTACTATATTACCTTTAGCTATCTTTATTTTTCTAAAGCTATAATAACTGCTCTAGTTAATATCTAGCTTATTATAAAGCTTAACTTATTAAAGTTATATATGTCTTTATTTTAAATACTATACTTAGCTTTTATGTTAGCTACTAAGTAAAACTAGCTTTAGATAACCTTTAGATCTTTATAAAGCACTTTTTTATAATTATACTTATAATTAAACTTTATTATAAACTTAGAGTAGTGCTTAACCTATATACTAGGCTAGTTTAAGCTAACCTAGCCTAGATTACACTCTACGCGCAAAAAATTAGCTATATTAGCTATAGCTATAAGCTTAAAAAAAGTTTATGTGTAATAAGCTTAAGTATGTACTTAATAACTACTTTTTTTTTAAGCTTAATTAAATTTTTTAATTTAAGCTAGTATTTTACTTTTAAAGGCTGTCTAGCGCGTTAATTACTTAGTGTTATATAAAAGACATTATAAATAGCTATAGTGTGTTATAAAAAAAGTTTTAAGTTTTATTTAAAAGCCTAAAAAGCAAGCTGTATTTAACATTCTTTAGAAGATTTAATCTAGTGTTGTTGTTAAGGCATTATGTAGATAGGTAGAGTGTGTTAGGGGCTTAGCAAAAGTAGCTAGCTAACCTGTGTAGCTGGCTAACCTGTTAGGTACGTTATACTAAATAACTGTTATAAGCTAATTATAAGGACAGGGCTCTGCACCACTCTGCTAATACAACTAAAAGGTACAAATAATCAACCAACAGTTGATTTTCAGGTGCAGAATAGTATATATACCTGTCGCACGTAAGCGCTATCTTAGCCTTACACTAATTTTATAGCTAACTTATGAAGGCTAAATAATAATAAAAAGCAAGTAATTATTAAGCATATACTTAAGCTATATATATAAGAATTTTTTTTAGCTAGCAACTATAGCTAATATAGCTAATTCTTTACACAGTAAGTATAATCTAGGCTATGTTAGCATAAACTAGCTTAGTGTGTTTATAAAGTATTATCTAAAGCCTAAAGTAAAGTTTAAGTATAAGTATAACAGCGTGTACTGCGTTACATGCTCTGCAGCTTTAGCTCCCTTGCTTGCGCAACAAGTAGCGTCTTAGCAGGGGGCACACATGTATATTTAAACATGTAGAGCAGCTCCTCTGCTCCTTAGTTTAATCTAGTTAGGTTACACTACCTCTTACTTATAGCTTAAGCATGCTAATAATAATAATAGTAAGTATAACTATAAAAACGCTTTTTATAAAAATTCTAAAGTAATTTAAGGCTAGTTTAGCCTTAGAAAGAATATAAAAGCTAAGTATAGCATCTAGAATAATAAATATGTGCAACTTTAATAAGATAAGCTTTATAATAAGCTAGATATTTACTAACTATACTTACACTTAAAGCTTTACTTTAAGCTTTAGATAACACTTTACAATTATACTAAGCTAGTTTATGCTAACATAGCCTAGATTATACTTACTGTGTAAAGAATTAGCTATATTAGATATAGTTACTAGCTAAAAGGGAAATCCTTACACATATAGCTTAAGTATATTGTTAATAATTACTTACTTTTTATTATTATTTAGCTTATAAAAGTTAACGTACCTAACAGGTTAGCCGGCCACACAGGTTGGCCGGCCACTTTTGCCAAGCCCCTACTAAAACCACCCTATTCTAGCGCAAAACAGCCTACTTTAGCCCTATATAAAGTAATACAACATAAGATATTATTTAGAGTCTACTTTTACTACTTTTTTACATATATATAAGTTATACCTAGTCTAATTACACTACTTATTAGCAGAGCTTGCTCTGCTTATTATATTCGGGTTTGCAGAACGAAAAGTTGAGCAGAATCTCCTCTTTTGGACGCGCTAGTTAGTCAGAATTTCTTCGGATAAACCTCGGTAACGCTGTTTTTCTGTCACCTTATGTGTTTCTTATATTCTTTTTTAAAAAAAATGTATACCTAGTGTAAGTGCACCTTTACGCTAATTTGCATGCAGTTTGCTCTAGCATGCGTTGTGTAAAACATGTTTAAATTATGGTTAGTTGCGTCTGTT